GAGTACCCATAGCTAGCGGTCGCAAAAATTGTTCGACTTGCGAAACCTCCGGTTCCATTACCAAGAAGAATGCTGACAGTATTATTAGTGTACTTATTGACAACGGCAAGATCTTTCTTACTGTCGCCGTTGAAATCACCGACAACGACTGCAGTTGGATAACGATCAGTCGAAAATGTCTTTCGTGTTTGAAAAGTGCCATCGTTATTACCAAGAAAAACGCTTACAGTACCAGATAAGAGATAATTAGCAACTATCAAATCTGCGTAGCCGTCGCTATTTAAATCAATGGTGGTGACAAAGTAAGTGCCACTACCACTTGTAATTTGCGCTAGTTCATTGAAATTTCCGGTTCCATCACCTAACAGTATGCTCACAGTACCATCACCAAAGTTCGCAACAGCGAGATCTATATTGTTATCCCCATTGAAATCAGCAGACGCGACGGAATATGGAGCATTACCAGTCAGAAATTCTACTTGAGTGTGAAAACTACCAGTACCAATACCCAGGAGTATGCTGACAGTGCTACTGTCTTGATTAACGACGGCTAGATCCTCGAAGCCATCACCATTGAAATCATCACTAGCTAATGACCGCGAACCAATGTTTGTTGCAAATGTCATCTGTGTTTGAAAACTGCCGTCCCCATTGCCCAGAAGTATACTGACAGTAGCGGAGTCAATGTTGGCAACAGCAAGATCTTGATAGTTGTCGTCATTGAAATCGTTAAGAATGATGTATTGGGGAGACATTTGAACAGCATACGGAACACTAGCGGCGAATAATGGTTGCGGGATTGTAGCTGGAACAGAAAAGAGACTCACATTATAGCATCTTCTCTTTGATCAAATCAATTCAAGTCAGTGAACAGCCTCCTCTTGAGAACGATATCTCATGGCCGTAAAGGAGTGAGGTGCAATATATGATCGAAATAGTGACAAGTACAAAGGTGATTTCTATCGTACGAACACTCTGATTTAGTCGACACAGATCAAAAAATTTTCTGTGCCTTCGATACAACCATCACTATGCTCGATAGAATTGATCAATGCTAATGCTTTCATTATGCGTAGAGAGGAATTCAAAAATCGAATAGAACGAACAAAGACTTCATTTTATTTTTTTGTGTGCACATAGATCTGCAGCGTGACAAATGAAAATAGTAGATGGTGCGAACTTCTGCAAAATCAACTATCGTCGAACGAACTCATTTAACGTGTTTAAACATCATACTATATCATTAAACCATATAGCATGTCCCTCGTTTCAATTCACCAAGAAATCGTATCTATTCTATTCCGATATTATTTTACTTCCGACAAGCAAACTAATCGAAAACAATCCCCTATATATTTTGTATTATCTAAAACTCTACGTACATCTATGAGAATATCATCGCCATGTGAATCGTCTGAACGATCACAACACACATTGACCTCACAATTAAACAATCGGTCATGCTAATTCTAAAGTTTTTAGTAGATTCTATATATTCTGCTTCGATCTATCTGATTTGTTTTTTATAATTCGACGAAAGGATGGTAGTTACTAGTCAAAGTGGGACATTTTCATGCAAAAATGTATTGAAAATACACTTTGTCTCCTACCATTTCTTCACTGTTTATTTTGTATCTGATAAAAATGGAAATATTATTATTCATTAGCTCAAGAAAGCCATGTAAGTGCATTAGTACAGTGTCTGACGCATAGCTCAAGAATAACACTATATCTTTGGCGAAGTCTTTTCTAGCTGATGGCTCAAACACTCTGCTACGAAAATAACCTCGATCATATGTCTTTATAGTGCGATCATTCGAACCAAAAATGACACTTTTGATATCACCGAAAAAAGTAGGGCTTTTTATGTCAGTGCGTCACTGGCATTTCTTTCTGTTATAAAATATTAAGTATGAAGTGAATTAAAACGAAATTCATAGAGGTTGAACAACTATTTAGCATGCATCCATCTATCATGTTTCGAGGTTTTCCACCCACCGTTTCATTAATTATTTAACACTACCGCAATCCAACGAAAATGGCATCATGTGCAACCCCTACGCGATTAAAATCTTAAACACACTGAAGCCACTTTCGTCGTGAACCAGAATCTCCACCCCATTTATGATAGTCCGTGAGGAAATCGAAGGGGTTACCATTCGAAATGTTCATCATGATCGGTGAAGCTAAACACGCTTTTTTCTAGAGCTCACTCACTGCTCACTAAGCAGGTTCCGAGGTTCTCTGTTTCATAAATTATGTAAAAGCAGCATCCATTCAAAACAAGTCTATTCAACATAGCTTATTCACAAGCTTTGCACCACTTTCCATCCCGACCCTAAGCACTACTCATCAATCCCTCTACCGATGAAAAAAAAACTATACATAACACTCCAACCTTCCATTGTTCACTTATCATAAAACTTCCAAAATAAACAATTCCAATTATTTCTATCGTGCTTCCCCTCTTATTCACCCACACAACGCACCTATCTTTGTTGCACATGTCTTCTCCCATATTACCACATTCTCCACCCGAATGTAACCTCTTCGCCTAATCCCTCATATCAGCACGCGGTCGAAACAAAAAGATACCACTCAATTCTTCCACACATTTGCTGCTTTTCCCTCGAAACTACGATAAACTCACTGGTTGTCGTGACCGTGGTGGTTGTTGTTGAAGTAGTTGTTGTTGTTGAAGTAGTTGTTGTAGTTGTTGTTGGAGTAGTTGTTGTTGTAGTTGTAGTTGTTGTAGTTGTTGTTGTTGTTATTGTTGTTGTAGTTGTTGTTGGAGTAGTTGTTGTTGTTGGAGTTGTTGGAGTAGTTGTTGTAGTTGTTGGAGTAGTTGTTGTTGTTGTTGAAGTAGTTGTTGGAGTGGTTGTTGTTGTTGTTGTTAGAGTAGTTGTTGTTGTTGTTGTTGGAGTAGTTGTTGTAGTTGTTGTTGTAGTTGTTGTTGTTGTTGTTGTTGTTGTTGTTGTTGTTGTTGTTGTTGTTATTGCTGCTGTTGTTGCTGTTGTTGCTGTTGAAATAGGGCCGGTGGCGGTTGTTGTGGTGGTGAGTGTGGTTGACACGGTTGGTGTAGTCAGGGTAGTGGTGGTTGTGGGTGTTGTTGTCGTAGTCCCAATGGTGGCGGTAGTAGTAATAGTAGCGCTTTTACCAGCCAAAGAGACAGGCACGGCAATGAGTACTGTCATAACGCATGCTGCAACAAGGCACATGAGACCGAATAGATAGTAAGATGCTCGTCCGAAGGGTGCTCTAAAATCAAACCATCCAAAAAAATTTCTATAAATAAATGTTAACTACCTACCTTCGGTGATTCTCTGGCCCCATTTCTTGTACATCCATCATGATCTACTTGGTAGCCGGTGATAGTACGTGACTTACAGATTCAATATTTTCAGAGATTTTCATGAAATTCTGCAGAAAGATAAACAACAGTTCGAAGTAGAATGTCATATCGTAAGTGTTCAGATTTTTGTAACAAAAATACAATATTCAACCACTAACTTTACATATAAAAAAATGCTGTCGGTTGCCTAGTTCAAATCGTCAAACAGATCATTTTGCCTGACAGCAATTGCAGAATACCTATCAAGCAGAATTCAGAATTCTGTGGACTTATATATTTTTTTAAAACGAGTTGATTATACTATTCTTCTCTGGTCTGTTTATATTCTGCCTAGAACTCTGTAAAATTCTGTAGAATTATGTATCATCAAAGACAACGTTCTTTCCTCGAGGAGACGTACAATTTTAGCATGCCTATTCAAAGTTTGTATTCTGTTAGTCGAAATAGAATTCGGTTTAAATTCTACTGATATTTTTAAATTCTTCATCAGAATTTTTCTTTTCCCTTGGAGATATACCGTTCTAGTATGCCTAGTGAAAGTGATATATTCTGTTAGTAGTAACAGAATTCTGTTTAAATTCTGAGTGTAGTGATTACTAGTTTATTCGCTAATAGGAACATATTTTAGAGAACTAATCCATTGTTTAGCGATTGGATTTTTAAATTCTGAATTTTGCAGTCCCTCCTGTCTGATAATACCTTTTGCTTTCAAGCTGATTGTCATACACATTTTAGTAATTATGCACTGGTAAGGTTTCGCTACATCACTAATTTCATTGATTGACAACAAAGAAAGCAGTGTAACTATTTTTCTATGCGTGTTATTATGTTAATAAGTTATGAAGTAGAGTGAAGTGTGAAAATTAGCACGGACACTCTGCGTATTGAATTTTGTTCTATTCTATGTGAAAAAAACACTGCTCTTTCGAGTATATTTTGCAATCACTGTTGAATTTATGAACAATAACAAGTCTTAGACTCGACCATACATCACTCATCATGGTACGACATAATGAAGGCATAACGGCTGTATTTCTATGTTTACATTGTAACTCATAATACGATGAGAGGTTCGCCATACTGATCTCGAGAAACATTCCTCGAATGTAAAATATGTTGAAGTTCATAAGTTCTTCTCCGATGTTTTCTTTCCACTCGTGCTTCGTACGATAAATTTTCATTTCGTTTCCTATCCATAGAAAAAAGTTTTTACTTCGTCGTCGATATTCGTGGTATGGAGATTCAACTACAGTGAAATTTTAATTACTACATCGCGCATACTAACACACAGCTATGGTCATTTCACATTAAAAAATTACTTTTTTCTATTCTGCTGATGAATATATCTCTCCCCTTCAAACAGAATATCACTGCTGTTGTAAAATCTGTCACACATTCAGTTCGATGAGGCATCATTGAAGAATTGCTCTTTCTTTTTCACCTCTGAACGAACGAAAAAGAGTGAAAAACTAAAACATTTATATACCACGAACGTTCAACTCAAATGCTTCTCTGGTATGCCAAATATACTAACATAATTTTCGATACAGAGAGTTGCTAAAATATAGAACATACCATTCAAAAAATATTGAAGATTTTCTTGATTACTTTGAAAAAAACTTGTTTCAAAGTATATTCTAAGTTGTCATAGCAAGGTCTTCAGAGAAGTGACAAAACATTGACAACGAGTAAGAACGGAAAAGTTTTTCTTCGCAAAAAAGAATGACTTCTTTTTTTTTTTTTTTTGAGAGAGACGGGAACCATAAAGAAAAGAAGATAAAAAAAAACACTACTGTGCCAATATTGATATCATCGTCCGCTGTTCTTCCTTTCCTCTTTCCTCTTTATTATATCTCTCTTCTCCTTTTCTGTGTTCATCTCTCTCCCTATTGCTCTTCCTAGAGAAAATATTTTTTGAGCACTAAAAAAAATAAGACATATGAGCACCAAATTTTATTACATGTTAAATGACCACCAAAAAATAAGACAAGTGAGCAGCAAATGAAAAAAAAGATATTAAAGAGATAAATCAATTCTATTTTAAAAGAATCAAAGTATTATTCGGATATATACAGATGCTAAGTTGTGACAAGCTCAACTCAAATTATATAATCTCATTCCTTTTTGTAAATTATGGTACACAAATGAGTAACACTGTATATATACCACAAGTTTGAGAATTATAATAATACACATTTCTGTGAAGAACCATAAAATACCCAACAAAGAATATCAACTTTTGAATATCGTCCAAACACTTGATAAAGCTAATCAAGGGTATGGGTATGGGTACGTGAGTAGATCCTCTCCTTACACCTACACTCTGCTTGCTAGTTTCTCCACTCAAATCATGTAGATGCCCAACTGGTATGAAGTTATATTTATGCAAACATTCAGTTGGCTTAGCAATATTACTGAAACATTATGAATTAACTTAGAAAACTCGTTCGGAACTTTTAGGTAAATGACAAGGAGAAGATCGAGCAGAAAAAGTACAATCTGTTCTATTATTGTAAAATGGACTTTTCATTTTTTTGTATGGTGATTTAGTATTCACATCTATTACATATCCTATTTGTTATTTTTTGTTATTAGTATAAAAATTTTTTGTTCTTATTTCACATGTTTGAATTTGGCGCTCTTTTCGCATATAACTAATTAGGTGCTCAAAAAACATATCGTCCGCTCTATCTATATGAACGTGTGATATATGTGAAGTAGGTACATTCTGGATATATGAAGTACCAAATAAACATCATTACCGAGGGTGGCAGTAAGCAACACCTTCAGTCTGCTATTCCACCTCACGTATTTATTGTTACAACTATCTATTACAATAACAGAAAGAGTCATTCAGAAAGGAATTCTCAAAAGAATTGCACGTACTGCTGAAAATTCGATGATAGTCTTTCGACAGTCTATTAAAAATCTTTATGAGAGATATATGATCATTCGAAGTATGGGATAATTCATGCTGGGACTCACATGTGAGATTTCTCTAGACATTCAATGTCCTACATTAAATGAGCAATGAAGCTACCTTGGAAACAAAAATCTCAGTACGAGACAACTGTCGATTCTGTAATTATGATATCTCTTGTATTTTATTGCCTAGGCAGCACTCGAAAAATTGAACAATTTCCTAACCTGGTTTGCTTCAATTTCTTTACACGGACAGTAGTCATTAGCGTAGAAAAGAGTAGGATACATTTTTTTTTGCGTATGCTTGTGCACTCGAACTAATATTTGATAAACAGTGGCTACCGTATTGTTAGTACAACAATTTTCAATGCTTGCATCGATACATTGTTGTAATGATCTACGAGAGACTTGTGATCTTGTTCGAAGCTCATAGAGATTGCATTTATATGAAGTGAGTGTGACAAACACGTTTTCAAAGAGTTTTCTAAAGCTGATTACACATCGTACAAAGACATATCAGTTACGATGAATTGTCGGTAAGGAGCTTTTCTCCGATGAATCAATCAATGGAAACATGGAGACATTGACGGAGAATGAAACTATAATCCTATCAATTGAAAGTAGAACTTAAATATTGATTTTTTTTGATAAATTTTATATATGTTATTATTCATCCATCATTTGATAGGTATTGTATTTATATATGATTGATGTAGGATTATGTAGTACTACAGCTCACCTAGAGCGTATATACTATTGATATCGCTTCATTAACAATGAGAAGAAAATAAATAAATAAAAATTGCTGATATTGTCAGCCATCATATTGATTTGATTTTTATTTCTTCATGTTTCATTGCAAATGGATGAATGTTTAATCAATAGAAACAGTATGTTATATACTACTATTCTACCGTATGAAATCAATTAATTCCTTATTTTTGTTATAACAGATTGAAAAAGAAAATAATCAAGTAATAATGAAACGAAAGTAGAGCTTGTCCTATTAAAATCTCCTTCTCAAAAAAAAGTTTAGTTATTCATAAAAGAACGAATTTTGGAATTTTCATATAGTTAGATAGAGTAGAAAAAAGCACTACCAAATGGCATTAAAAGACTTTTTAAAATAAGAATAAATCTTTCAAATTTCATTCAACTAAACTTGGTCGCTCCATACAAAAATTGCGTGAAGATACATTACATGTTTTATATGGTGACGGTTACAAACATGTTGGTGTAACTGCAGAACTTTGCAATAAAATAATCAATCACTGTCATTTTATTATGAATAGATATATTGTAGAAGATAATCACTTAAAAGTGGTACAATACAAAAATTAACAGTAACTGCTTCATTTACATTTCAAAATGATATTCTTAGCGACACTTGAGGGTGTGGGGGTGTGGCTCTTGTCTTCTTTGACAACCACACCCACACCCATCATATTTGTCAATACATTGTTGTATAATTTTCAGATTCCTAGACAAATAATTTAGTTTTTCTTGTATATCGGAGATGACGCTCAGTATTTCCGTTACCTTGTTAAGAAAGTCCGCAAACAATACAGTTTGTTGAGACTTACGTTTAAGCAACAATGTGCACATCACAAAGCGAGGTAAGAGACATTGTTTTCAGAAAATGAGATCTTCAAGAATACTATTAATGACGGAAATACTCTGTTCGGACGATAAATTTACCAGATCATTCATACGATACAGATCTCGGATGTCTGTTTTACAATCATCAGAGTGTGGGTGTGTGGAAATGGGTATGGGTATGGATCAACCTCAATGTGATTACAACTTACACCGACACCAACACCAACACCCTAAAAAACTTATGTGATCTGCAGAGGAGGTGAGCCGTTGATTAGTAAAGATCTTTATTATAAAAGAAAGTAAAGGATTTCTTCAATCTGTTAGTGTGAAAAGGACGATAATCACTGTGGTCAAACTGAAAAGTTTCTTATGGTTAGTTAAACGGTACTCATAATCCTCGAGCAAGGGTGTGAAAAAATGGTTATAATTTACATAAAACTGAAATTTTTTTGAATCAAAGAAACAGTTCAAAAATTTTTTTCGGCTTTTCTAGTTTTCATATATTATTGTTTGACTAGCATGGTTTATTATACTTCATTCTATACTGTGCTACATTTTTTGGACTGGTATTTGGGTCTTATGATTAATTAAAACCATTTTAAAAAACATTAGCTACAAACATATTGGCAATAGTTTTGAGCGCACTCTATAAATTGCAGTTATTGAGATGAGAAAAAAATTAAGGCATAGAAAATCAGTGAACTCTACAAATTGCAATTAGTTACAACGAAAAGTATATGGATAAGTGGTGAAGAATTCAATTTACTTAACTTTTTTTGTAAATTTTAATTTGTAAATCTTAAAATTTATAGAAATCGAAAGTTTTAAAAGCTTAAACAATGACTTTAAATTTTTAATACTGCTAATAATTATGAGTTTCACAACTTTAATTATTTGCACATAATTTATTTTAATCAGTTTTAATTTTAAAAATAAGACTATGTACTGAAATTTCTAAAATTAATTTATTTTTTACACAAAAAATAAAACTGAATTTTATAATTTCAAATTGTAAATTCATATTCATGTGTGCCAATGAGAAGATACGCTTTCCACGCTGCATCTTGTGGTATATTTTGTTTTTTTTTTTTTATGAAAATACATTAAGCGATAAAAAGATGAAATAAGAACAAACAAATTCGTCTTGTGCCAAAAAATATGACTTTCACACGGTCGAAATTTGAACATTTCGAAAACAAAAGGGTTTTATATAAATTGTAGAGTTATCCATGTTGCATCTTTTAGTGTATTTTTTTTAATACGCTGTATTAAGTGAATGAAAATTGAAATACAAAACGCGGCCATACAACCTGCCGCACCCGTTAGATCGTTATTAGTTAGTCTGAGTGTGATGGTAACAACCATTACTAAACATATGAGAAAAGCAGTCGATCGAATTTCGTTGAAGAAAGACATATGCTCATATATACCAGTAGAAAATTCTTCAGTATCTGTTAGGTGGACATTGTTGCATACTCGCTCCTTTATATGTCAATTAGGAACGAAAAAAAAATGAACTGTACGTGCATTATAAAGTAGAAGAGCTACTTCGTGAATCAAAGAAAAAAAGGAAAAAGAACAAGGGTATATTAACTAAATAATGGAGACAGGGATCATATGTGAAAGGTATTGTATACCCCACCACGCGATCTGATATCATCTTATTTTCAAAATTTTTATGTTCTCAATGAAATATAACTGTCATTGTTTGGCTTGAAGCACTGCAAGTGGCCCCATTTATACCTCCCCAATTGCTATTTCCAACACAAGGACGCAGTGTATAACCGGTAGTGCACGTGTATACACTACCTGTCGCAGTTAGCTCATCGGCACTACCACATATTCCGACCGCCCATAAATAACCGTTTGATGACACAGGACCATATGCAGTATTCGTTCGCATAGCGTTTGCTATGGCAGTAGCGTAAGTTGAATTTGTAAGTGTTATGCCTGTTGGATTATTTGTACCACTTATTGTCAATGACGTACAAGGATGGTTGATCAATAAACTTCGAAATATATTCCAAGCCGTGCATTGAGATGATGAAGTGACACCGAAAGTGAAATTTTGAGTATAGATAATGGGAAAATCTGTAAGAAAATAAGACACAAAGTGTTTGAAGTTTTCATTAAGATTGCAATTTATTGCTATGGCTTTTTAAAAATTCAGCAATGCGTATGGTTTTTTACAAATCTATCTGAAAAATCCTCTAAATACTCATCGCAAAAGTACATATCTTCAACTTCCGAATATCTCTAAGCGATCTGAAAAATATAACTGAAAACAGTCAGTTCGTTCTTTGCATCGGGAAATGTACTGCTTTTATTCAGAAAAATCACTCAACGTAGCTCCCATATTTTTAAACTTTTTATTGAAAAAATTGGCTATTTTCTATTGTTGTATTGAATTTTCTCTGATGAGCATTATCAACAACAGAAAGAATATTCTTCAAGAATAAAAAAGCCTGGAAAATTGAAGATTATTTTTTGAAGTATTGAAGAGCAAAAAATAATAAAATAATCGGTTCTCTAGAATTTCATTTTAGTTTAACACGACTAAGGCGTGATGCCATCAAAATACAGTGAAGAAATACTTGAACTTAAATATTAAAGTAATATTTTTCAATTGAACATCAAAGATTTTTGTAAACTCAAAATTTTCTATTTTTAAGAAACAAAGCTCAAGGAAAAAAGATTTTGAATCAAAATTTTCGATTTATTTAACATATAATGTAATCTAAATAAGTACTTTGCTATAGTCGCTATTTAATGTTTCATCTTCGTTAACTGTTTCTTTTTGTCCCATCAACAAATGACCAATGATCTTAAATCATATTATTATTCAATTTCTATCAAAATAAAAGAGAAGAAAAAACAATATTGAGCTCGAATATCTATAATTAAACAACTTTGATAACTGTATTCAGAGTAGTTGAAGATAATCAGCAGCAGTAAACTTATGCATTAATGAATGAATGATTAACATCAATTCAGTTGTTATTTCCTCTATATTCTCAACATGTGTAACAGTTTTTCTACGATGCTACATAACTTATGTTACGTGAGATTCTATTTCTTAGTTTAATATAATCTTTACTGAATTTTATTAAAATATAATAAATTAAAACGAGTTTTTCATTTCAACGTTGCACTCCGACTTTACATTATGTATGTCGTTTGTATTCTATTTCTAATTGATCTTTAACGATAGTAATACAATTAATATATCACATGCAATATTGAATAATGCTTATTCATAATAACCATTGGATGTTATCGATTCTTCATTTTATCGACTCATCCAAGTTTAGTTTTAAAACCTTATACCAGTTATGTAATCCGATAAAGCTTTATACTTCAATCAATTGGAAGGATGAGTTTATATTGACAACAAGAAAAACAGAACTATTTTGACCTTTATCTCGATGAGAAATCTACTAAATATATATCATTTTACTTACGTGTAGTCGTAGTAGTTGTCGTTGTCGTAGTTGCTAAAAGTGAAAAAAAAGTAAAGAAAAAATCTAGAAAAGATGAGAGATACTTTACAAGTTGTGCTTGTTGATGTGGAAGCTTTATGAAAAAAACAAAGAGAAATTTATTTTAAACAAATAAGAATAATGAATAACTCGCTTGTTGTTGTTGTTTTTGTTGTAGAGCTGGTACTCGTTGATCTTGATGTACTGCTAGTTGTTGTGCTTGTCGATGATGATGTACTGCTAGTTGTTTTGCTTGTTGTTGATGTCGAGGTACTGGTTGTTGTTGTTACTGTAGTGGCAGTTCTTGAGGTTCTTGTAGGTATCTGGATCACTGCAGTAAGAACTGCACCGATGGTTGCACCAAAAAGAATAAGAGCAAATGGAATCATAAATAAATAAACACGTGAACACGGACGACAAGGTTGTTTTCCATTACGAAGTGAACGATTCTCAATTTGATTATGTTGATACATGGAATCTATTTGACTTGATAATCCATAATCAGAAGTCTCATTTATTTTTGAAGAATGGTTCGATGGAAAATTCTGAAAAAATTGCAGTATATAGTTGATTATGAATACAAAAGTAGAATGTTTTCTTTTAGAGAAAAGAGAGACCTTTATTAATGCTGATATTTTTTGTACTTTATCCTGGATAAAAATTTTCTGTTCATTTTTATTTTATGAATGTTTTTTCTTGTTTAGAAGGTTCATTCTACTCAAAGCGTTTTTGAAGAGTGTAATATATTTAAAAATATAAGAGAATACGAATTGAGTTTTAACCAAGAGATATGAAACATTTTCATTTCACATAGATTATAAAAGAGAAACAAAAAAAGAAAAATTGATTTAAGTGGTATATGAAATAAAGCTAAATATTATCTGTTCTCTTTACATTTCGATTTAGATAAAATATTTTCGAATATATTGGAATTGAGTGAGAAACTAAAACAAGTTCAAATAGATGATCCTTTTTTTTTCTCTATAAAATAAAAAGCCTATCAATTTTTTTTCTTTTTTTTATTCATTCAAACTTTGATTCTTTATTAAATTTTTTGTACTCGTATATTTTCTCCTTCAACTAGTAATATACAAAAATGATTTAATTTACGAAAAAGAACCGATTGTTTTGTATTCACTCTATCGAAAGACGGACAGAAGATTTTCTAGCATATTGTGATATAGTTATACATTGTTATTATATGATCGATGATCTTTATAAGATTATTAACGATTTACCTTTGATTGTAACTGATATTGACGAATAGTTGGAATAATTGATACCTATTTCAAGAAAAAGCAAATATTGATAGTTCGAAATTTAAAAAATCTGATTAAGAAAAGAGACTCACTGGAATTTTGACTGACTTCAGAAGATTGTGTCGAGGAATTCTTTTGATGTATGGTGCATTTGGCAAAGATCGATGTGGAACATTGAGTGTTACTGTACTTACGTTAGTCATCATTAGTTACTAAACCTTTCTTGTTACTGATGTATGTTTTCGATTGATACCTACTTTAAAAATTTAGTGATTGAAATGTCATATGTTTTTATCGAGATCAAATGCACATTGAGAATACATTTTAGCGACTTCTTTTTATTGTGAAAAGAAAAAAAACTTCCAGGTCGTTGCATATTTGTTCGACCTATATGCGATTAAAAGGTTTTCTGTTGATGGGCATGTTGCCCTCATACTTCACTGAATTTATTCTAATCTTTGAAAAAAAAAATTGGAATTATTTTTTGCATTTATTATGAAACTATAATTTGTTTTTTGTAATTAAAATCTTCTATGCAATTGAAAATTTATTTTATTCATACATCTAAAAATAAAAGGTCAGAAGCAAAACTTCATATTTTTTTTTCTTCATTGGTCAATTTTTATTTCGTAGGTGTCATTGATTATTGAATATGTTTTGTTTTTTGGAAACTATATTATTCGTGAAAAAATCAATTGAAAGAAGAAATAATAAACTTCCTTTGAAGCAAATTATTATTTGAAATTATATTCGATATAGAAAAAGCGAACTAAATTCAATAGGAATTGAATATTTTATTAAATTTTGTCAATAATATCAATTCTCAAAATCGAGAATGTGAATGTGGAGCACACCAACACCCAACACAACAGACAATGATTCATTTATTTGTGGTAATGCAATATTAAATCCAAGAAAAAATTCAATATTTATTATAATTAATTTCCATTCTTGTATAAATTCTATTTGAAAATAATATACATTAAAGTAGATACCATCATAAGGAAATAATGTAAATTTATATGTTTGTTTAGCTTCTGCAATGAATTCTTCTATTTCAGCTGATGGTGTTGTTTCATCAATACGAAAAATTTTATAAAGTTTGAAAGGTATAAAATCTGATAAATTTTTTATCTTTTTATTCTTTTTTATTTCATTTTTTAAATAGATTGATTATTTAATTTTTGGACAATAAATTCCATTTTATTTTGTAGACTAAAATTTAAGAATAATGAAAAGAAACATATAAAAATAAACACAAATAGAAATGGATCATAACTGACATCTATCCGTTGAAAATAAGATCCAATCCTTGAGCAGTTCATTGTTTTTATGTTTATCTGAAACCAGAATTAAATAATAAAAAATACATTTTTTGAAAAGAAAACAAAAATTGAAAAATGAATAGATTTATTTCAAAGAGAAATCATATCATTGTATCAAAACATATGAAATAAGAAAGAAAATCAATCAATTAGAATATAGATTTTAATGTATGAAAATATATTTAGCAAAATATAACACAGGGCAAATGTTTTTTCTTTTCTTATTTATAAAATTCAAGAGACAAATTAATAAAATATTTATCTTTATTGAAGAGTAACAGAAAAAAAGGGTGTGGGTAAATGCTACGCACACACGCTCACACCTACACCCTCAGTTTTTTAATATTTCATGAATCAATTAATATCAAAAAGAGTGTTTTATGATGTTGTTTACAAAACGCGTTTTATTTTATACATGAAAGATCGGCTGTCACTTCTCTATAGAACACAATAACTATGTGTATTTGACTCATTGCTTGTCGTTCTTACCTTTCTTGCATTCTTGCGTGTAATTACGACATAATTCTCAAGTTGAAATTACATGTGCGAGAGCTTCTAACGAAATTTGTCCAATATAAAAGACATTATTGCTGCTTGTGATGATTATGAAACTGAATATACAAAGAGAAGAATGATGGACGAGTCTCAGGAGAATTATAATCAATCTGTTGATGACAAAATACCAACATCAGCGATGACATTAAATTTTTCTGCCTTGAATGTCAATGCAGCTGAATTTATTCCTTCATCCGAATGTGTTAATTCAAGTATCAGCACACAAGCCAAACCGATGAATGAAGATTGTCAACTAGAGCAAAATGGAAATATTTCAAGTAGGTTCATTATTTAAATGTCTTTCTCTAACCTATACGTATCGAAATAGCGAAAGCAAGTTACGGAATATCGATGATGAATGATTCCGTTCGAAAGAAAGAACCGGTCAATATTCTCTTCTGTGGTCATGTCGATGCTGGTAAATCGACAATCGGTGGACACTTACTGTAAGTTAATCAATGGAAATTAAAATTGATGTGATAAAAATAGTTGCATTTCGCATTGAAGCTATCTCACTGGTCAAATCGATAGACGCACTTTGGAGAAATGTAAGAATGGAGCACGTGACTCATGGTGTCCATCACATGCGTTGGATACGAATGAAGAAGAACGCGAGAGAGGTATAACCATTGAAGTTGGACGAGCTTGGTTTGAAACACAAACAAAACATTTCACCATTTTGGATGCACCTGGCCACCGTTGTTTCGTGCCGAATATGATCGGTGGAGCATCACAAGCAGACATTGCCATTTTAGTTCGTCTCATTGATCTTCGAATCTATTTCTAGTAGTGATCCGATTCGTTTAGGTGATATCGGCTCGAAAAGGTGAATTCGAAACAGGATTTGAACGTGGCGGTCAAACACGTGAACATACAATGCTTGTGAAAACAGTTGGTGTTCGTAATTTGATTGTTCTTGTCAATAAAATGGATGATCAGACTGTTAATTGGGATGAAGCACGATATCGAGAAATCGAAGGAAAATTATCACTCTATCTCAAAATGTGTGGTTTCAAGTCCGAAAAAGATACTATTTTTATACCATGCAGTGGAAGGACTGGAGCGATGCTTATTGAACATCCTGGACCAAAAGTTGTGTCTTGGTATACGTAAGTAATCGTTTTTTTTTAATTATGGACTAGATAGTCAAATTGATTTTTTTCCAGTGGACCAACTTTTATTGAATATTTGGATGGAATTTCATCGTTCGATCGAAATATTGATGGTTGTCTTCGAATGCCTATCGTTCAACGATACAAAGTATGTATTCGATTTATATATTTTTGATTGTGATTTAACATTTGATATGTAGGATATGGGTGTGATTGTTCTGGGTAAGATCGAATCCGGCCAAGTTCGGATCGGTGATCGTTGTCTGATTATGCCCAATCGAACACGTGTCGAAGTAACAAATATTTATTATGAAGATATTGAAACAGATTCGAGTGTATGTGGTGAAAATGTTCGATTGAAATTGAAAAATGTCGAAGAAGAAGTGAGTGTCTAATCCATTTCATATTTCATTTGGTAAATTCGATTTCTAGGAAATTTCACCTGGTTTTGTTCTATGCGATATGATTCACGAGCCTTGTCACGTGGGCAGAGTATTCGATGCTCAAGTAAGGATTTTTTGTTGATTGACGAAATCATATTATTCATTCGAAATTGTTATAAGGTTGCAATCATTGACTACAATTCAATTATAACCGTAGGTTATTCAGCTATACTTCATCTTTACACTACTGTGGTCAAAGTTGAATTGAAAAAATTAATCTCATTAATTGATCGTAAAACTGGCAACGAGACAAAACTATCCATGCCTTTTATCAAACAAGATCAGACAGCTATTGTTCGTTTCGAATTATCAGAACCGAATGCTACAATTTGCATTGAAACTTATAAAGATTTTTCTAAACTCGGTCGATTTATCTTACGCGAAGATGATCATACTGTTGCTGTTGGGCAAGTTCTCAAAATTAATCCGTAAACAATGACTGATTGATACAATCTTGCCTGTTATGCATTATCAAACAACAAAATAAACTTAAAAAGTTATGAAACCTAAAATTAAACAGCTAAAACAAGAGTAAATGAATAAAAATACGGAGATTTTTTTTGTACAATTTTAGTTCGAACGATTTCTAATTGATTAAATCTTATCATATTTATTTCAGGCCGAAATACTAATCTAATCACTTGTAATATTTTTATTCTATGCGTCTGAGATTCATGAAGAAAGTTTTAAAACTAAAGGCAAATCCACAGTATCGAGTTCCATGATTGTCCGGTCAGATATATGGAACGCTTTCATTACAAATGAGTCCAACGTCACTACTAGTTAGATACGGAATGAATGTGGAATAGGAATCGCATAGGAGCCCAAGATCAAGACACGTCGATTCATTCCGCAGTAGACGTGTAAAAAATTCATGATAGTTGTTTGCGCATTCACAGATGTGCAATGTGCCATTGCTGATGTTATATGAAACTAGATTGTTATCGGTACATTTGGCTGTGACGATGTACCAGTGCTAGATAATACTTTAAAATGGGTGTGCGTGTGGGTGTGGATGGGTATGGGTTTAGATTTGCTATTAGTTAGACACCCACATACCTCACACTCACACCTACCCTATTGAATAACGTGTTTCTACTCAGTTTTTCATGCTGATTCTATATATAATATCTTCAAAAATTTTATAAAATAAAGTTAAGCGAAAATTGACAGTTCCGGTAGGAGAGGCGGATTTGTGGCTAAAAATATTATAGTTTAGTTACGTGAAGTTCTATCAAATCATGTATAATAGAAAGAAAAATCAAATTCACTGAAATTTTGCATTTCCAACATCTTATTTTGTTCTGCGAGGACGTGATCATGCCTATAATTGCAGGAGTTTTGTTCACGATTGTAATTTTATTTTTCTTTAAGAATATGATTATTAAGTATACATATAGAAATGATTATAGATGATATTTTATAGAAACGAACGTTGAATGTTCAGTAGAAAAATAAAAGCAAAAAGCGAAAAGGTATAGAAAACAAAGAAATGAAAGAAAACTATAGACGATAAGAAAGATAATTGGTACGAAAAATTTTTAAAAATCGTTGTTAAAAGATAATTTTACTTCCGACTGCCAGATACAGAAAGAAAAGATAAAAATATATTAACAATATCTATGTAAAGCATGAGTGATGCAAAAATATGATCTTCAGCACTTATTTCGTACCGTTTTCCACCAATAATCAATTGTGTATCAACAGCCAAGAACTAACAATAGAAAATAATTTCCTTTAATTTGCTTAATTATTAAAACTTACAATCGAAAAAAACACAGCTCCAACACCAGCATATATTGTATACATTATCTTAAAGAAATAAATATTTTTATGAAAAAATATAACATAGCTATATTGTTTTGTTAAAATACATACTCTTGAATAAGTAAAAATACAAATAATGCCAAAAGCCAAAAATGCCAATGACATAGCAAATAAAACTCCAAAACATGATGTAAAATCATATTTTGTTTGAAATGAAAATAATGTAACACCAAAACAAACAAATGCTGTTATACCAATAGCAATAAAGACTGATTCAGTTTTATAATATGCAGATATCATACCTAGCTAAAGTTTTTTTACAACGAAAAAAAATATTTTAATGAATAAATAACATTTAAATCGAATCATACCATATAACTCATTGATAATGTCTAAAATTAATAGAATATTTTGTTTTTAAATTAATTTAATTTAATTTTCTATTTTACCATAACAGTAAGTAAAATAATATTGAGTGGAAATTTTCGTACTGCACTTTTCGAACAAATCAATACAAAATAAGTAACCAAAAAAACAATATATGATGCCAAATAAAATCGTTTACCATTCGGACTTCTCACATATTTACCAATCGATGGTCTACATCATATATCATATATTCATTTTTAATGTCCTTTATTATAAAAAAAAATAAATAAACATACATACATAAAATTACATAATGTAATAAGACCAAATGAAATCAATAATTGAATCATAAGAATTATATAAACCTATTTCATATCACATTGTTATAACAAATTTTCTTTTTATAAGTTTTGATCAACACAAACCTTTCGAATAAATACACGACGAATTGCTTGATTGTCAAGACCAGTTAAATCTCTCCATTCATAATTGTCTTCTTTATCATCTTTATAAAATAAAAGTAATAAGCCACATTAATTAACAAAGCCTTTAGATAAGCATTTAAGCAAAAAATTAATTTATATATTCAAATATTTTGAAAAATTGACAATTAATTCGGTCGACACTATATTAAAATTTGAATTATTTCTGGAATTGATTCCCAAAGAATATACGAAAGTATTGGAATCTAATGCTCCCTTTATCGATTGCAAAGTGGGTAAAACGTTTTCATCAAGGACGAGAATGTACCAACGATGATCCTCGATCTAGTCGTCTAGCGTCTGAGCTGATACACATAAATATTGAACTGGTACAGTAGATTATCAACATTTAACTTATTGTCTAAAGATGATGAAAGTTACATCACGCAAGGATGCCTCGAATCAACTCAATGATTAACAAGAGTAAGAATAAATTAGAATTCGTCGCGAAAACACAAGTGATTAGACATGGATTCATCATTGATAGGTTGAACGCAAGTTGAATTAGTAAAGATCAATCACCAACGACTACTGTTCGTTGAAGTAGATTTGAATCATAGACTTTGTTTTCTATTTTCTTTGAATCTAGTGATCCTGTTCTTATACATAGTGTAGCTATAAAAGCAGGACTGTAGATCACATCTATTATATTAAAAATTGTCTCAAATCTATTGTCAATGAAAAAAAAATCAAAAAAAAAATCCAATCATATATAAAAAAAAATATGAAATTATTTCACAACAATGCTCGAACTCACACTCATTGAGATATTATTAGTTATTTAACACACACGAAGGGATCAATTTATGATTAAATAAATGAAAACTCATTGGCTCGTGCGATTTTTAAAATAGTTTAAAACGTTTCGAAAAGGAGAGTTTCAAAGAAAGCATTTTAAAAAATTATTAAAAAGGATGGAACTTTGTATAATTAATTATGACAACGATGTTAAGCATTTAATAAAATTAAATTAAAAACTTCTCTTTATTTATCGATTTTTGTTCAATGTTGTCAAAGGTTTGGATTGATCGTAAATGTTTAAGTTAACAATATCTAAAACTCTTTTCTTCATGATTCAGATAATTTATTCGAGTACAAAAGAAATTTATAAATCGTAGAAGTGAATGATAATTGGTGCGTTTATATTTCTCAGTAAAGATACATACTGTATGAAAAATATTATTTAACTAATAGATGTTCACTATGCCAGAGAGATGAAACTGATTGTAAATTATTTCTACACTCGATAGTTTTGTGTCCTATATCAATACATATACTGATGTACAGTATTTTATCCTGTGTGAGAGCGGATGAGATGGCGACACTCTTTCCAAGATCGATTTGGCTCTACTACAATTTTTCTTCATTGTACGACATATTATGTCTGTATGATTACGAAAAAAGTTGTTTGACGTCGTCAACTTTGGATTCTCTTTCTGGAAGAGAAAATTTAAATAAAAAAACTGATAGTGTACAAAAATAAAAGATTCTCATTTATGAATGTATCGGGATTCTTTTTCAAGATTTTAATCTTAACTTTTCTTTGAGATTATTTTAAAATAGAATACAATCATAAACTGCTCCTATTTATATATCTATGCTTTGTGGCTTGGCACTTTATGTCTGTATATTTGAAGGATAAAGTTCGTTGAGTACAACACTTTCCTACTTTGAACCAATTTATTGAATATATTTCGGACCTGAGCGTGATTGATCGAACTTTTTCAGATCCACATCCGAATTGTATTCTTGATTTCAAAGAAGGTTTTTAGTGTGTATCTTCAAGTCACTTTAAAGATGCGAGATGGTGTTTAATGATTATTTCTATTCTACTAGTAAGATAGCCTACATATTTCTCAGGCAATTTTGACGATTATCTTATAATCATCAAGCCATAATAGGCTATTACTTGGAGAATGATCGATCTGATGGGATTTATTTAAGAATATAGTTATGAAAGTAAATTAGTTTAAAGAAGAAACAGTAAAGGAAAATCGACTGTGTTATATATATATATATGTAATGATCTGTCAACTATTCATTTGTCTTTTTCATATGTACATATCAAAAGACTCTGTTCTTGCATTGTTTATTAGTCATTATCGAGCTTCCTTTTCGTGTTTTTTTTGTCTTCAGAAGTATTTATAAGAATATGCAAAAATACTTGTTCTTCATCAAACATTCAATGGCGATATCCAACTCTCTTATAAAATAAGAACTGATCAAATCTTCAAAGAATAAAGAAGGGCAAATATTGAGACCTTGATAAGATCTATTGCAAGATTTAAAGATGCTAAGACCATAGAAAAAAATCCTGATTCTAATTATCTTGCGTCAACATCTTAAGTAAATCAAAAGCGATTGCACCATCTATTTACATCTTGAAATATTCATGATCTCTTTGCAGTTAATTTATAGAAAATATCCCGAATTGATTAAACTATTTCTTTCACTTTCTTCTCTAAACTAATAGTTCTGGGCAATGTAAATACCCTGGGCTTTAAAACTGAATTACTATGATGATTTTTTAAACCAAAATAAGCAGTAACTACAAATCATACGAAATAGTTTCATCATAAACATGCTGAATCATTTGTCAAATGATTGAGGAAAATTATTCTTACTCTTAAAAAAAGAAATGAAATAAACTACAGTACTGATAGATACTTAATGTAAGTGTATTTTTTCTCTGGACTTTTTGCAATATGAATATTTTCTGCGAACATGATCATCATCTCAATGACACAATAACCATCTGATACTGCTAAATGTATATTAAAATGGAATGATTACACGAGTTCACGAATAAGTACCTTAGCTAATTCAACAACAACAACAACAACAACAGAAATAACAATTGTGTACTTTTCATCAACTTCAAATAACAACTAATAAGAAGAACAAATACCAAAGTCATATTTCATTATCATAATAATAAGCGCAAATGTAAATGAAACTATACTAAACTAGTTTTTAAATTTATTTTTTGAACTGTAATCTCTATTTCATTTCGAATTATCTATGCTATTTGATTTTTAACAGAATATTTTACTAAACTAGTCCATTTTTTGTAATCCTTTTTTCTGTAGTATGTAGTCGATTAAATCTCAACTTTTACCATATGTTCAGATAAATATTTTTAAGTATCAAATAAAAATTGCATATCAAGATCTTATAAACCTTGATTAATAGTATCCAAATTCTGGTTATCTATGCATAAGATCAGTGGAAAAGATAGTAAATGACAAGTTATTGAATATAAGATCTTGAATATCTGTTGTTAAGATCTTACAAGTTTGTACCTCAATATCTTGTTACACAATAATACAATTATTTTGTGACTAAATTTTGAAGATCTGTTCACTTTGCTGTACCTAGTGTCTTGGCCATGATCTTTCTTCCATGATGTTCGACTAGAGCAGAAGGTGGTTGCAATAGTACTTCATTTAGATTATTGCCACTACCTGTAAAATTATATAAATGAGGCATGAAAATAATTCAATAGGAGAATGTACCAGGTTCAGGTGGAGATGGTATATATTCAGTCGATTTTTCGATCGGAGTAGGCTGGGAACCTTCAAATGGCGGATTTGGTGAATTGTCCTTATGTCGATCTTGACTCATGATATTTATTAAATCTAAAAAAGACTACTTCATTTCATATATATCAACAAAACTTTATTCGTCTGACGAAATTTTTTATTTAACAAAATGGTAAAAGAATATTGCCTTGAGATTCATGACATACTGATGTTATTTGTTATATAGGATATTCAGAAAGTCATTAAAGAAAGAAAAAATTGAATATCTCCGACATATTTCGATCAAATAAACCGATATTTTTACCACTGATCAAAGAAGTGTTCATGTCTCCTATTCATATAAGAAATATTGTTTTGAAGTATTTATAAATGACTTTTGGGAAAGAACTGCAACCTTTCATAAATTACGAAAAACTAATATAGTTTTGGATTGATTCTTCCCACTAATATCACATGGTCTCATATTTATACTACAGATACACGTATTCTTACTCAATGTATTCGGAAACTTTCAGTCATGAATAACAAGAATTCCTTGACAAAAATACAATATTGGTTTTTCATAAATGATGAAAAGCGTATGATGGGTATGGGGGTGTGAAGGCAGATAAATACAAATTTGATACCCACACCCACGCCACTACATATGAGAAAACAATTAGAAGATGATAGGAGTCGTAGTGAATATCGAACAGAAAAATTGAGAAGTGCAAGAATATTTATAATAAATGGACTCTGGTTCAAAAATAAGATCATTGAATGAGTGGAAAAATGACGAAATCTCACAGAAATCATTCTCGACAACAATGAGATTTATGAAGATACACATGATCTATTGACGAGTTTGACCTACTATTTGAAATTCTCAAGACATTTCAGAAAAAAAACACTATAATCAGTGCATATGGTGAAAAGCATGACAATGTAGTACTATGAAGGAATGCATATGATTGAAACAAATATTTGGAAAAGAACACGACAGTATAGTGTGATAGATGATACGGAAAAGAAAAACAAATGGAGTGCTAATGGAAAGATAGGGCCAAATCTCAATAAGTACACATAGAAATATCAATTTAAACCTTCTAAAATGTAAAAATTCTTCTCAATGTAGTGCATCGCTGCTTGTTTCAGTTTAATTTCGGGAAGAACAAATAAAAGTTCGAGAAGAGTAAAGAACAAGAGAACACTAAGCTGCTATTTAGAGTAAATGAAACTCGAGCTTCAAAGATTAAAAATTTATTTTACGAGTTGTCAAGAAATAACTTGAATAATAATAAGAAGTCTCTCTAAAATGTCTATAACAGAAGATACGAGATGCTCGTCACTGAGTGACTAAATAACGCATGAATATGATTAGATATCTACCCAAGGTGAAAACGAAACTAGTTCGTCGAAATAGGACAGAAAAAAGAACGAAAGATTCATGACACACTGCATAAATATCTTATCAGACAATAGAAAAATAGCATGAGGATGACTTGGTGAATCACGTACTTTTTCAATATCATAATTGAAAGAGGTGTGGGTGTAGGTGTAGTATTATTCAGCAGCTACACCCACATTCACATCAATCCATGCCTTACATACGTCTCAGTGTTCCTTTCGTTTCTCGTTATTCACATTTTTTTTCTCTTTTGGCGTTTGCGTTCTTTCTTTTCTATCTGTGTTTTCATTTAGTATTGCATTTTTCTTCTTGAGTTGAGTTTTTTCATTTTTAAGGATGTAGCGGAGACGTCCTCAATACTGCACTGTAGAATGGAATGGCGGAATCATAAACATCGAAATTGATTTCATAACGTTGTGAAATATTCGAGGCATCGTGCATCACGAAGACGTGAGATATGTTATAGTTCAAATGAAAATAATTTGTACTATTCACTTCCTTTTCACATCTAAGATTGTTGCAAATATTTCTCACGTTCTTTCTTTTTCATGTGTACATGAATAAAAATAACCGATTTTTTCTACTTATTTTCATATATTCATCTTTAATCACTCATCATTACTATGAAAGAGTGTGAGTGGGGTGAAATAGAAAAGCGCCATTCATCCACATCTACACTCTGCATCCACCTATTCTTACAGCCAAACTCTTGACGATTGACTGAAAAAATCAAGAAAACTGGCGGTTTTTCGTTTTCTGCAAATAACGTTGATGTTCTGTCATATCGATTATCGGCACAGCTTTATGTTCTGTTGTTTTTCATGTATCTAGTTGAACGCATCCAAAGAAGCAACAAATATGACCACTGCGCAAGCAAAACTCAATCGAATGTTTGCTCGTTGCTTTTAAGTAAGGTTCACCAAAGTCAAAGTTTCCACACCATTTTTTTTTTT